CTCGTCAATTTCGCATTACACTTTCATGCAGCACATTTTTGATTTTCAAATAATTGTTCCTATAGCTGATTAGGGTAAAAACGTTCAAGGTCGATATGCATAACGCAGTATACTTGATTGTGACAAGAAGGAAAACAAGAGTAGAGAGTTTTCCTGTGATTAAATACAAACGGGGCATGCCACGTGACCCGGAGGTGTGAGGCGTCACAACTAAATGATTGATCTTGAGCACGAAGCTCTACAAAAGGAAATTCATATTGAATATATAGATCTTCATGCTCCTTGGATCACCTTGGATCACCAGTGATCCTGAGTGATCCAGCATACTTGTTTATATGCTCTGATGATGCGTGCATATGAGTTCTTAGGGTGACCGAAATCTCATAGTAAATTGAGCGAATCGAAACCGATTTGCACATGGCACAAGCTTACGAAAACAAGTCAGCTGTTACCATCGTAACATTTTTATTTCTATCTCTTTTTATCTTTATTATTATTCTTAATTATAAATTCAATTCAATAAATTATTTAATTTATTAAATATTTAATTATATATAACTTCGAATCTATCTATCAAATTGTAACGATATTGTACTGGAGGCAGCGGCTGCCTAAGGTTCGTCGGTTGGTAGTTATGGGTTAAAGCTTTATCACTGGTATTCATTTGGAAGTGAATTCGTTACTAGATCAAGTAGAATGTAGGTAAACTAATTGATAACTAAGTTGAGCACGAAGCTCCTAATCTATGAAACTACTCTGCCTATATAATGATCCCCTTCCAGGAGCTTTGAGGAGCCTACGCTCCCAGAGGCTCTATCACGTGATAATATATGCCTCAGGACACTAATCCCAGGACGGTTCGTCTCCTAGGATAATTTAACTCCTAGGATAATTGTCCTGGGACAATTATCATCCTAGGACGTTTTATTTTAGGACGTATACTATCCTAGCTCATCCTGAACTCCAGGACACTTGTCCTGTTTCATTGTGGTTGCCTAGAACGCTTGTTCTAGGACATTTTATCCTAGGACACTTGTCCTAGGATTCCTAGGTTCCTTATCGAAGCTGATAAGGAACCCCCCGTAAACCGCGGTTAAATCACACTCCCCCTGTAATCGGCAGCTAAATCACCGATACTCATAATACTACTATTATCTAAACCGTGGTTCGTGACACAAATATACCTAATGCTACTTCCTACAGCCATCAAGTGTCTCTTCATCAAGGGTTGAGGATTGATGTTGAGCTTCGAAGTTGCTATCTACTGATATATGATAAGGCGGGTGGGAATGGAACTGGTTGGTTTTAGTATGAGTTTATAATTATACTCCAGTATTGTAATATATATATTAGGATGGAATAAAGCACCGAGATTGGCTTGGGTACTTTCTACTATACTTCGTTCAATGTCTGAAATCACCCGGAGACACCCGATAAAGCATGATTTAAAGATCAAGTATGCATAGACATCAATCTCCAGTAGACGGATATCATACTATATCATAAAAATCAGCTACATAGCTGACAGAACCTAGCCATTGAGATTTTCATTCCCATCCCAATCCACGCCATTCAAGCAAGCCAGTTTGCATCAACATCATATTTTAACCCAACGCCATATCCCTAGTTGTACAATTATTCATTTCCGTACCTTCCCCCTCTTTGAACTCAAAGACTTCCACCAGGCATTAACTTTGTTCCACTCTTCTTGATTTCTTCTTTCCTCTGTTGCATCTCTTGCATTAATTTAGCCTGTTCTTCAATCTTTCCACTGCGATTTTTGCGTGCGGCTTCTTCGGCTTCGACCCAGACTGAAAGGAGGAAAATTAGCAAATATCCATCACAATATCAAGCATATACCTCATTCACAGCAACATTCTCATATTCCCCCGAAACTACCCGTATTCAACTCTTTCTCCAATACCAAACATCCTCTCCCATTCCAACTCTCCTCCTCCTTCTCTTCTAACTCCACCAAAACCATCAAAGCAAGAATATAACTTACTCGGCCTATCACTCTTACTATACTCCTTCAACCTCGCAACAAAATTATCAAAATCCTCCTGTTTCCCCACGCGATTCTCCAAACTACGTTTTTGTAACTCTGGGTTATATTTAAGGAAGAGTTCTTCTTCTGTAGGGGAGATGTAATAAATGAGGGCTGGACCACCAACACAACATGTTATACCGCTGAGATGAAAATGTTAGTTTTATTGTTGCAAGGGGGGAGTTTGTGGTTTGGGAGACGAGACGAGAAGAGGGGTTTTTGAGGGAGGAGACTTACGCCACGGCCATTTTGCTATACATGCGCCAGTTTATGGGTTTGGGTGGCATTTTTGCTGGTTGGGTTGTTGGATAGATGGGGCTTTCTGATGTGGGAATTGGAAAAATAGATTCGCTATTGCAATTGTGATGTTCGCGTTGCTTTCGGTGATGGGATGAGATTTAATCGATGACATGATGATTTTCAAACTTCAAGCTGGGTTTCTTAAAGCTGCGCAAAGCTAGTTGTGGCTGAGGTGGGGAATGAACGGATTAGTTGTGGCGGTGGTGGCGTAGGGAGAGACAAATTGTAGAGAAGTGATTTCATAAGCTGATGATGCTGGGATGGAATTGCATAGTTTTGTCCGCACTAAAGTCGAGGGAGACACTAATAACTATGTACTATGCAAGTACCGACTGTCAAATCTTGTTTCAGATATTATAATAATATCTTATTAGTTCTACAAATATCTGATACTGCGTTCTATGTCAATTTCAGATGGCCAAGATATCTATATATATATATATATATATATATGTCCGTCGTAATGTTGTTACAGAGTTGAAGTACTAGGTATCTAATACATTACTCTCTTTGATGTCTTCATTAACTTCATCCATCTAGGTACATGATTGATTGATTACGAATAATCAATCTTGCACTCTCAAAATTTCTCAATTCGATGTCATCACTTGAAAACCGAGGTAAATCCCCCCTTCGCAATGTCTTGTTTGTTATATTCTCCTTGATATACCCATGTAGCGGATTTCACGGATCGCATAGAGTAACAATCAATATATTGATGGTAATGCGATAACCAATCGTTCTTCATTCGGACCTGACTGCAATCATGGCTGCTGATGGGAAAACCCCCCTTGTCGTATATGTAACACGCGAGAAATTGTTGATAGTAAGGTTAATTGCATGCATATACCATATATCGTATACTCCATAGATTTCTAAACACTTTAATCTAAATTAACCATCCCTTTCAATGGTATGTGATTGATGATGCCATAAGATCTACATCTAGCAATAAGGGGAGATGCAGAGTTGAACTGCTTTCTCTTGATATGATGTTACCTCGGGTTATCTAGTAGATACTTTTCCCATGAACGTTAGTAACAACTGAAGTGTTGAATAGATGTCAATACCTCAAGAGGAGGTCGGACTATCGGAATCTTCAAAGCCTTGATCCCCAAATGATTAGACTTTCATCAAAACCAACCATGAGGTCCATCCATTGGCATAACCAACAACTTTCAAGGAGCTTGTTATTAAGTCCATTATTGTGGTAGTGGAGTGGTTCAAACATTCGCGACAGGCGCAGCAATAACGAATAACGGTAGGTAGATACCTAGTAATAGGAATTAAAATGCCTACCAGTTTTTCTTACAATGCAATAACCCGACTGATAACCTCCCATAACCACCTTAATTAGCGCCCCTGCCCCCACTCCGCATTCTCTGAGACGACCTCCCAAGATTTCCAAGCCGGTCAGCCGTCTTGGATTGGTATTGAGTGATCCTTTTTAACCTTCTTGTCGAAATACTTACAACTATCTAATAGCCATACGATATCTTCTTCTTTTGCACTTACAAAATTCAACATCCGCAGAAATTCTCATTCGCTTTCCTTTTTCTACTTCTTCAGAGTTTCAAGAGTACTGTATTGGTTTTTATGCGAAAAGAAATACCGAGACAATCCTCAAACTTGGGTTGCGAAGTTGATAACAACAAATTCATAATTAGAACAGACTAAAGCCATTCCCGAAACATTGATCATTCAACCCTTTACAGCAGAGACGAATCCAATTCTTTAATTTTCTTAAAAACCGTTAAACTTGCCGACTTTCTGAAATAAGAAGATATAGACTTCTCGAGGAATTGGTTCCATGGATTGATTGCTTGGAGTTATTACAATTTGTTAAGATTTTGCGCCAAACAATCGGAGGGATAGGAAAGTCGAGGCGATCAAGGAGGAGAGAAAGCAGGAAAAATCATGGCATATGATCAGAGTTATTACGAACAACCACAGAGGCCATACAATGGACGAGCTGCTCAAAGACCGAATCCAGCACAAGAATATCAACAAGCGCCTGCACAACAATATTCACAACAACAATATAATGAATTTGGTCTGGATGGCTATGGATATGAGAATTATGATAATGGATATTCACAAGATTATAACGGCGGATATCAGGATATGAATGGTGGAGGTGGAGGTGGGGGTGGAGGTAGAGGAAATGTGAATGGAGGTGGTTATGGAAGTATGAATGGAGGGGGTAGAGGTGGTTACCCTCCAAATCCGAATGGGCGAGGAAGGGAATATCCTCCAAATCCAAATGCAGGAGGTAGAGGTTATCCACCATCGAATCAAAATTATCCTCCACAACAAGAAAATTATGCAAATGGTAGAGGTGAGATGCCACCGAGAGGGGGTGGGCCTAATCCAAATGGTAGAGGTGGGCCAATGCAAAGACCTCCTCCAGCTCGCGTTGGACATGAAGGACCGCAAGGAAGAGGATACCCTCCAAATGGTGGTCCTGTGAATGGAAATGGCCGACCAATGGATGACCGAATGAGGCCAGCACAACAAGGACGTGAGTGAAAAGAATATGTATATTGTGAATAGGTATATTGACTATTTTTCAGAACAGCGACCTCGGAAACCTTTAGTAACACCTCCTAGATCACCAGAAGCTTCTACATCATCTTTTGATAGCCCTTTTCCTGCTTTTCCCGGAGCAAGGAAGAAAACTGCATTGTCTGAAGAACAGGAAATTACCCAAAAAATGGGTGCAATAGATATCTCGAGTCCTCCCACTTCTAGGCGACCTGGAACGGCTGGAAGTAAAGGAAGTCGTGATAATTATGGGCCGAGGAGAGGTATGTCAACAGATGATTATGGAAGACCTTCAATGGATAGTCAAAGGAGCGCACCACGAGGCGGGTATCCACAAGGAATGCCAGATCAGCGAAGAGGCCCACCATCAAGGGGAATGACACCGGGTCCTCCTAGGCAAGATTTTCCGGAAAGGAGAGGACCACCTTCAGGACAAGGTTATGGTGGTGCACCAAGGCAGAATGGTTATGGAGATCGTGGTTATGATCAATATGGAAATCCCATGTCACCAGTTCGAGATGATATGGAGAACTTTGGTCCTCTACAAAGAAGCATGACTATGCCAGATAGTCCTGGACCCATGGGGAATGGTCCACCAGCCTCTTCAATTGATGGACCAGGAATGAGTGCACCATACAATGGTCCTATTGGGCGTAGTATACCTGTTCGACCTGCTACTACTACCGGATCAAGACCGCCGCCACAAAGAACATACCCGAACCAACAACCTATTCAACAACCACCTCCGCAACAGCAATACCAGCAAAACAGTTATGCAGGTAATCCTTATGCCGATAATAATCCGGATGACAGTCTAGGTACATTCTATGATGCATATTATGAATCACCAGCTCCACTACCCACACATAACCGAAATCTCTCAAATACTTCGGAAATGCCAGATTTTGATGCCGCACCCCAAAGAACCGTACATAGAAGAGGTGCTTCGATTGAAGCTCATATTCTGCCTGGAGCAGGTTCTGGACCTGGATTTGACCTAATGCATCCTGGTGGCCCTGTGGAAAGAAATGGAAACCTCCGTCAAGTCAAACCTGTCAAATCCCAGCCAGATTTTAGAGCCCAAGCCCAAGCCCAAACTGCAATTTTCGAGATGGCAGGGGATGCGCCACCAATTCCTAACATACCACAGCAAGGTTTTCAAAATGGCTGGGAACAACAAAATGCTCAATATAACCAATATCAAGGCCCGCCACAAGATCAAGTATATGACCAATATCCTAGTCAAGCACCAAAGTTTCAACCACCTCCAAGAAGTATGTCTGCCGCTCCTGGGGCTGGTCGTGGAATGCCACAACCAGGATTTGGAGGAATGTTGAATGGCCCTTCGCCTCAAAATGGTGGTTACCCTAGTCCACAAAATGGAGGATTTCAAGGTGAACGTCAAAATAGTCTTCAAAAGCAAGGTACTCCAGAAGGTGGTCTACCTCCTCATGCTCCACCAGTTCGTGCTGGTTTGATACCCAATTCTTTCGCTCAACAGCAACAGAATATTAAACCACCACCCATGCGAAACTATGGCGGCTTTAACCCTTCGCCTCAATCAAGCACTCCGGTTCAAACATCTAGTGGTGCGTCTCCTGCGGGTCCTACTTCTACAACGGGTGCCACACAACCAGTAACTCAAGCCGAACTTGATCGTTTGAGGTTAAAGTATAAAAACGGTAATCCAAACGATAACGAGACTCCTCTACTCTTTGTTAAGAAATTAGTAGAGGCTTCCGATGTTTTAGTAGCACCTCTTGCTGATCAAAGAGCACGTAATAAGGCGAGAGAAAAGTATGTTTTTGAAGCTACGAAAGTCCTGAAGAAATTGAGGGAAGCTCAACATCCAGATGCAATGTTTTATTTTGCAGATTGTTACGGTCGTGGCGCCCTTGGTCTTGAAGTTAACGAGAAGGAAGCATTTACCCTCTACCAATCTGCCGCAAAACTTGGTCATCCACAAGCCGCATACCGGACTGCAGTATGTTGCGAACTAGGAAATGATGAAGGTGGTGGTACACGTAAAGATCCTCTTAAAGCCATGCAATGGTATAAACGCGCTGCTACTCTTGGAGACACACCTGCCATGTACAAGATGGGTATGATTCAACTAAAAGGACTTTTGGGGCAACCAGTCAACGCTCGCGAAGCCGTCGTTTGGCTTAAAAGAGCTGCTGAACGTGCCGATCCTGAAAATCCTCATGCCTTACACGAACTAGGTCTCTTGTATGAAGCACCACAAGGTCCAGATACATCACTCGTTCGCGATGAAGGATATGCCTTTCAACTTTTCCAGCAAGCAGCCGATCTCGGCTATAAATTCTCACAATTTCGTCTAGGCCAAGCTTATGAGTATGGTCAATTTAATTGTCCAATTGATGCTAGACAGTCTATTTTGTGGTATTCTAAAGCAGCCGTTCAAGAGGAGCATCAAAAGTGAATTGGCACTTAGTGGTTGGTATTTGACGGGTCATGAGAATATTTTGCAGCAAAGTGATACGGAGGCTTATTTGTGGGCGAGAAAGGCTGCGATGGCGAAATTAGCAAAGGCTGAGTATGCTATGGGTTATTATAGTGAGGAGGGAATTGGTACGCCGAAGAGTTTGGAGGATGCTAAGAGGTGGTATTGGAGGGCTGCTGGTAGGTCATTTTTTCTTTTGGGTTTATTTCTACTCTCTATTTTACTTCTCTTGTCTCAATTATTTCTGTTGTCTTTTGAAGGATTCATAGCTAATAAATACACAGCGCAAAATTTCCCTAAGGCTCGCGAAAAGCTCGAGGAGCTTAAACGAAATGGCGGAAAACAGAGTAACAAAGGAAGAGAAAGAATCTCCAGATCTAAAGGAGCTAATCAGAAGAATAATGAGGAATGTTCTGTTATGTAAGCAGAAGATTCTTCTGTTCTATTTCATTTGATTATGGAGACGAGTAAGTGTAGAAAGGGAGGATGAAACAGGTTAGTGCAGTTGCATGCTATCTTATCTGATGCATGCATTGGACTGGATAAATCTCATAAGAGAGAAGAATTATGAGAATGGATCGGATGAATGGACGGATGGATGGAGTTTTGCAATATCAGGATTTATCATAGCATTTTGAGCGTTTTTGATTGGTTGGACAGGACAGGACAGGTGCATTGAAATGTTCTTATGTTCTTTAGGCGTTGACTACCTACATGGTGGTTTGGATGGTTTGGCTGGAGCAATATATATGATACATTGATCTATCGGTCGTACTGGATGGATGATGGGTGGATGGATGGATGGATATGTATTTGTACATTTGCTGGATTTGGAGAAGATGTGCAGGGGAAGGGGGATTGGTTAAAGGGATGTGGGAGTGGGAGTGCATTGGAATGGGTTGGAATGGATGTTGGGAAGAGGGGTAATTAGAGTGGCATTGAGAGAGGAGGGGAGATGATATGGATATGTATAAGTGTGCATGCGCATGTGCATGTAATAAGTATCGTGTACATGTACTTCTGTACTCTGGACTATGTAGTAGATATAATAAGATCTTCAATTCATATAAAAACACACAATCATTATAGGAAATATAATTTCTGCATTATTTCGTTTGGGTATATATGTATATATCAAAACACACTTTTAGAATGATAAATAAATAAATTAATCCAGCTTGTCGGCCTCCCACTCGTGAAAAGAAAGTCTCAAACTTCAAAATTTGGGCGGACATTGTTGCATGCTTAATCACAATCACAAAAGAAATGATAACTTTCAAGAAGAAAAAATTAATTCAAAGAATCCAAAAATTCAAACGCCGGGCCGTGAGGCTATTCCTTCTCCAGCCGTGAGGCAAATACTTCTTCTGTACAATGTGTCCTGTCCGAGCCTGCTTCTCCATTGGTATTCATCCCGCGTATAATCCTTCGAGGATGAGAAAAAGAGAAAAGAGAAAAGAGAAAATAGAAAATAGAAAATAGAAAATAAAGAAGAAAGAATTGAATCGCTCTCTCCTCCTCCTCCACTTCCATTATATCATAATATCAGTCCACTATATCATGAACCCGACCCCGACCGACACTGAAATTCCCAGTTCTCTTCCATCAAAAGGTGTTAAAATGCCCAGCAAATTCATCTCCGATGTCTTCTCGAACTACCAGAGCTCTCCTGAGGAACCCTATGTCTGTGTCTACTTCCACTCATATGCGCACTAGCGCCCCTCTCCACCGCTTGTTCCATTTCCTCCACCCGCTGTCTGTATCCCCTCACAATATCCCTAATATGCCTTATGCGATCGAAATCCAATTCTAGCTCATCAATCTGTCTGAGAATCTCATGAAACCGCGCTATCTCCGCATCGGCCATCGCAATCGCATTCCCCGCGCTGTCGTATTGTTGCTGTGCTACAATCGCTGATTGTTCGGATAGATACTCGAGTCTGGCTGCGATTTGTGAGATGAGATGATCAAAGTGTCGTCCGAGTGCGGCGAGGGAAGTGGTGTCCAGAAGTAGGAGTCCCTGGGATGAGGCTCGCGAGGCTGCGCGAGAAGAATTTGAGCCTGCGTTCGCGGCCGCTTGGGATTGATGGTGTCGGAGAAGAGCAATTTCGTCGGCTGTGAGGCCGAGTTGAGTATCGGGGACAGATGGCGCTGGTGAGGCCATTGGAATTGGTTCTATACCTCCTCTTGGTGGTTCGAAGAATTTTGTTTGATGCCAAGCAATACTTGAAGTGTACTCGATGGTTTTGACACCCTCACAGAGAACTGTGAAGGTGCTGTAAACTTCATGGTCTTTGTGATTGAGGCAAGATCATTTCTTAGGAGTACTTTCCCCCTTAGCTTGGTGATGGTAGCAATTCAAAGTTTGGTTCCGTTTAAGAGATTTGGCGGAGTCTACCAGACAATGTAATGGTAAGATCCACAATCGGCTCCGGTATTTGTGATGCCTCTCCTTCGTTTTTATATATGAGTGAGTGAATAGAATCGATCAGCTGAGAACGATAGGTAAGCCTCTCTGTTTACTTCTTCCCTTCCCTTCTCTTCTTTTGGATTATTGGATTCGGGGTAATTTCCGCGCAGAAGCGTATATATCGTAGAGTTTTGGGAGAAAGATGGTCGTCTCTTATTAGAATATAACAAATTAAACAATATATAATTAATTATACACGGGAAAGAATGAAAATAAATAAATAAATAGGGATGTGTGGTTGAGAATAGAAGTTAATAAATGATGGGCATTCTGTGTTGTGTTGTGGCCGTTCTATGTGCGACCTTCCCACCGCCAAATTCGCACAATTGAAGAGGTCATTCAGTACTAAGAAAGATTAAGTATGGTCGTAACACGTAGATGCATAAATTATTTATGCAGTAACTTTAAATTATGTAATGACGTTGTGCGAGAAGGTATTTGCAGAGTACAAGAAAGAGTTCATCGTTATTAATTCGTGTTACACGAGTCAAACTCGAGGGCTGCCATCACATACGTACATGTATGTACATCATACACATCATACATAACATCACCTAATAATATCGCATACATCACATACCTACATCATCTAACAACATCAACATCAACACCATTTTCAATACATAAAGCTTATATTCTTATACTCTGTATTCTACACTTTTTTCCGCCGGCTAAAAAGACCCCGCGGATAAATGAAAAACAGAGTTTTATATGAGGAGATATTCTTATTTGTATACATCTTCGCGAGTGCGGCTTGATTTTCCGTTGCGGATATCCTCATGTAGTGTATGAGTCCCTGCCTGATTTACAACTGTCAGCGAATGTATGGTTAATCATTCCCGAGATTTGTTCTCGTTATTGGACATTTTCTTTAAAAATAGTCTGGGCACTATGCAGCTACAATACAGCCGCCACGGGAAAACAAAATCCTTACTTTTGCTCAGTGGAACCCCGCAAATCCATCGTGAATTTGCCGAAGTCGCCTCAGGATACCTACCATAGACTGGAGTCTTATAAATAACAATCTCGCTGCAATCATGCCATGCTTCATGTGTTTCGTTTTGTTCTTGCTGATGCAGCTTTGGTTCTCAAGATGAAGTTCTCTATGGTTTCAAGTACGGTTTTATTTATGGCCAGTGTGGTAACGGCAACCATTTGGCAGAATGATCAAGTTCGAATCACGAATTATCCAGATACAAAGATAGATCTGGATAGCTATAACCTCGCTAGCTTTCCTCCTAACTCATCAGAGCTCTCATACAAAGGACGATGGGATAGTAAATATGTTTCATGGTGGTCGTAGGTTATCTCTCTCTTGAGTTCCTTCCGTCCGGGCGAGAGAAGACTAAGCAAGCCTAGAGCACCTGGTCTGAAATTCGGATTTACCGGAGAAGAAGTCGCAATTACTTTTGGACCTTTAACTTCAGATACGGTATTGATCGCCTATCGAGTAAATGGTCAGGATTGGCAGTTCACCAATATCACTACAAGTGCGACTCATCTACTCGTCAGTCCCGAATCTCCCGCAGTCGATGTTCCCTGGCCCATAAATCCAGCGACGTTTGAGCTGCGAGTTACCAACTGGGCCTATGGCGTTCAAATCTCTGCCGTCCATTTGAGTCAAGGCCAAAGTCTGATCAAAATTCCCAATTATTCGAGGTCTATCGAGTTCATTGGGGATTCCCTTTCATCAGGGTACACAGCTACTCTAGAAGGTCTTTCTAGCTTTACGTATGGTATGGGAGCTGGTCTTGGAAATACTGAGTACTCCATTACAGCATATCCGGGCATTTGTCTCTACGACCAGACATGTTTCGGTAACACTCGAGGGATGTTTCATCAATGGTTTTATACTTCTGATACTAGCCCTCGTGCTGCTCAAATATGGGGTGATGAGCCAGAGCTTTGGGATTTTTCTGAACATGACGATCCGGATTTCGTAGTGATTAACTTAGGGACTAATGATAGCAACGAGGCAAACAATGTTTCTAGTGCTCATTACGTCGCTCAGTATAAATTGCTAATCGAAGGTATCCATGCTATTTGGCCTAATGCTCAAGTCATTATCATGGTAAGTCTAAGTCTACTTGTGTATGAATATTACTAATAGAACCAGTCTCTCTGGGAAGGCTTCTTTGCTTACGGAAATTCCTATGCTCAAGCTCAAGGATTTGTTACCGAGATATACGACATCTATCAATATTTCAACTCCGAAGAATACCTATCTAACCCCATCCTATACAATCCGCAAACCAATTCTACCTATTCATCCAATAAAACATCCTCACCATTTGTATCATATTTCAACACCACAGGTTTAATGCAACACAATGACATTGGACCAGCTTATCACCCAACGGACGTAGGACATGTCAAGATTGCCAGTCATCTCATCCAATACGTAAGATTGAAGTTTGGATGGGAATTATATGCAACCGGACCGGAAGTATTCCATGATACATTATACGTACGTTTAAACTGTGGATGATATTACATTTTGAAAGAGACTACTAACTCTTCATCAGTGGAACGATAATCAAAGTTATTAAACGCCCTTCGGATATTTATAGAGTGTGGCACTCACTTTTGATATAAGGAGATTCTTTCATGGAATCGAGGGAGTTTTGTTGTGTTAGAGTGAGAAGTTGGCATGAAGTCATGATAACCTTTATTCCTCCTGTCCCGCGTGTTGGACAGATATTATATTATATTACATTACACAGCCTCCTCCACAAACTTACAAATCGTCTATCACTGGACAAATCATCAATAAAACATTCCCGTACTTTTGATCAATTGGATTTACACTGTCTCCTCTGCATTTCTTTCATCCCTTTGGTCTCCACAGATTAATTATCAAGTTAGTTTCTGTGTAATTGTTTCGTTCTGTTCATTTTATGTTCATGTTGTGTGGTGACATGATGTTTCTTGCAATTCAAATTACCTCTGTAATTATTTGATCTTGTTTCAATAGGTAGTTATTTTACTTTCGGTCCTTTTGAATGTTCTCACTTTTTTTCTAAGCGTATCGATTATTCCAGTATTATATAGGTACTTACTTACCTATCTACATTTAGATCTCGTCTAGGAGGATAGTTTCACACTTTATTTCACACTTTACAATTCACACTCCATCCTCCCATATTTCCCCAAAAATTTAATCATCTATCATCTTTCATCCGAAACTGTCAAATGAAACAGACAGAAATCATGAATGGATGGATAGATATATGAATAAGCAAATGAAATAATCCCATATACAGTTAAAGTAATAATACCCCCGCCCCGCGCCTCCCCTCCCTTTCAATTCATCCTCAAAGTTTCGCCTCGTCTCATGTCACACACATGGATATATTATGTAACCCCGTTCGTACCGGTTCGCCCTGCACGTCTATGGTACGTTTTAGATTTCAAAGTTCAAACTTCAGATTAGTGATTCTGAAACCCGAAAATATATAACAAGGTATTATCTACTTCAACTTTTACTTTTACTTTACAGTGTACTTTCTTATCTAAAATTTATTTTGTTTATATTTATTTACAAAAAAAAATAAAGAAAAAAAATAAACCCAAAACCTAAATCTAAACTTAAGATCATGATTCTCTCAGAACAGGATTCAAAAGTTCCTATAATTAGAGATATCTAGATATAAGTATTTTACTTTGACTTGATTTTCTTTGGTTATAGAGGTAGCTAGGTATAGAAATTATTCTGTAATGCATACCTTTGGATTTTATTTGTTTGTCTAGGAGATGAGATGAGAAGATGAGGAGATGAAGTTGGCGAGATTAGTATGGATGTGAATGTGAATTAGATGGAGCTGGAGATGGAGATTGATACTCTTGGATAATGGATGATGCTGCTGTTTATTGTTAGGATTTGAGAGTTAATTATTGTGTGTAAGATATGATTGTATATTATTTGATTACTTGATTCTTTGATTACTTGATTCTTTGATTACTTGATGATTATAGTGTTTGTAGATATTGATGCCTACTACGCCCCCGTCCCCGGCGTAGAGGGGGATAAGTTGGGTTTGGGTTGGATAGGATGATAGAAGCCCGATTTTTATGTGGGGGGGGGGGGGGGGGTGTAACGATATTGTACTGGAGGCAGCGGCTGCCTAAGGTTTCGTCTGGTTGGTAGTTGTAGGTTAAGGCTTTATCACTGGTATTCACTTGGAAGTGAATTCGTTACTAGATCAAATAGAATGTAGGTAAACTAATTGATAACTAAGTTGAGCACGAAGCTCCTAAGCTATGAAACTACTCTGACTATATAATGATCGATAAAGGGAGCCCCCAGGAGCTTTGAGGGCTCCTAGGGCTCCTTATCACGTGATTACTTTTCATCCCAAGACACTAATCCTAATGGTGAATCGTGACATAAAGATGTCTAATATTAAAAAAAATACATAATTAATATTAATATTAAACATGTATAGCATCTTATTCAAATGACCCGTTGACGTGAAGAATAGATTTCAGTCATCAAGACCACGATCTTAATCTCACTCAGTGAAATAAATTTTGTTAAATATTACCTACTATAATATTCTAAACTCTCAACACCATAACCATTCCACAGATCAAGAATTCAAAACATCATTACCATACTCTGTAAAAACCAAGTGATTAACCGATATTTCCAACCAGGGCAGAGCAGTACAGTAGTAGGATTTCGGAGCAGAGTAAACAATAAATAAATAGTCAGACAGGGTAATGATGCGCGCACTGGTGATGAAAAGAATTAAAATACAGATTTTTTGATTCCTAAAAAGAGAGCTACGAACTAACCTCACATAGGAGATTCCTACTTCCCTGAATCGTGTATGTGTGTGCATTCTTATATTCGCGAGATAGAAGCAATATAAAAAAGTATCTAACTCCACCCATAACCCAAGTCAGTCAGTCGCTATGACATTTCTTTCTTTCTTTCTGCAGGTGGCATTCACGTGAAAATGGGTCTATAATCTACAATTAATAAAGCCTCCCATCTATCCCCCGTTTCACACCCACAGTACAGCACAGTACCCCTGATGTAAATCAAAAGCAAATTCTCCATCCATCATACTCCTATCATACAGCTAGATATGGTATCATACGATAACTCCTATCCAGCGACATAATCCGGGAAAAAAAAGGAAGAAAGGCAAGCCCCCAGGTCTCGACGCCACATAAACCCATCCGGAAGCCACTCCGAAGCCACCTTGCGGAGAATTTCCATATGCTCGCATCCCGTCTTGGGTTAATTCTTCATTATTTTATCTTATGCTTTTCTTACGCCCCCCCTCTCCCTCGTCCCCTATTAACCGCAACCAACAACAACAACATGATTCAAGCCAACCCAAAAGAAAATTATTATATTACTCCGTCAAGACGCAGCAGCACCAACTCTCACGGAAAATTCTAGCAGACGGAACAACGCGCTCGACGATCCGGGGCAGCTAAGTATGCGGTGTGATGTAAATGAGTGTTTAGGGGGTGAAGTGAATCTCTAGTGAGAAAGGTTTGTTCTTCGCGAGGTGAGCGAGGATCGCTTGGATGAATTATCCATGAATTAAAGGATCGCTGTGGAGTAGAGAGTCGTGCAGCTTAGCGACGCTGAGCTATCATAATCGGGCCAGGGCTTATGGAAGGAAGGGATGTTTTATTTGAAGGTGTGTGAAGGTGTGTGAAGGAGCGAAAACGTGCGGACATGGATTTATTTGAGATGATAATGCAGAGGGATGGTGAAGGGGAGGGTTTTCAGGGAACGGGGATTGTGGAGGCTTTCTTTTCGGGTATTTGTACTCCGTAGTGCACATTGAGGATTAGTTGTATTGTCTCAATGTGTGTGTGCGATGTTTGGTTGTATTGTATCTAGGGATAAATGTAGGTGAGAGATGAAAATCATCTAATTCGAAATGCAGACGCAGGGACGCGCGCTTCGAATTGGTTCTAGATGTTCAGCCTTAGCTGTGCTTGCCCGTGAATATTTCTTCAATCGACTTATTCAGCTATGTTCCAAGCCTGCCGTGAGACGGACGATTCAGTTTGGTGGAACCGTTTGTCAGTGCCAAAGCTTATGCTTACATCTCCCCAGCTTGCTTTGGTGGCCCAAACCAAAAATTCGACATTTAAGCTTGTTTCTTAGTCGAAATAGATATCATAAACCATTTTACTAAACTAGGCCAGACGAGTTATTTTCAGCCCCAAGCCCCGCGTTCATATGCTTGCTATTAAAGAAAAAGAAAATTAGCTCTGAAAAGTTGTCAACTCTCATCTGTCCGAAGACGCCACCAATATTTCGTTCCGTTCCAACCGAAAAAAACATTGAAGAAGTATCTAAAGAAACATGAAGAAGCCACAACGTTTCAATATTTTAACGTTCTTGTCCGAGGTAGCCTCTGCCGAGATTCGAGAAATTTGATTGCCGGGTGACTATGAAGGCAGGATAACACGTATAGAGATACAGTAAATGCAAGAACCGACTCTTTTTTTGATACGATCCTTACAGTTTGCCTCTCAACGAGCATACAGTAGACTAGCGAATATAAAAGCTTGCTTCATAGATACGGGTATCTGCATGTGATTTTGTAAGAATGGGGTGACTTTCGGCTTCAAAAAATGAGCAAGCCATTCAGCTCGCTTGCAGATCAAAACTTTAGTATAACTAGAGCGCGAAGATAAATGCGACACATCCATTCTATGCGTCTATCGTTACAGTGTTTCCAGATTTGTAGAGTACAGTGAACTCGCTGGGCTGGAGCCTAGAAGTGTTGATAAGCCTGGCAACGATAAATGCAACATCATAGGTGAATGAGGCAGGCAAAGTTGTGAGGATAAGTGCCCTTGACCCGATGAGGATACTTGAGTGGAGGGTAGATTGAACCCCACTTGCGGATGCATACAGTGCTCACTCCTACTACCGGCTTGCGGATGGAACTCAAGTCTTTTATCTTACGTGCCAAAAGGTGTTTCCAAGCCGGTGATGTGATTGAGATCCTTAGGACTTAGTCTGTTCCTGGGGACGAAAGTCTTTTTAATTAAGAGCTTGAAATAGATTATGCTAGGTCCTGCAAATGACAATCATTAACCAAAACCAGGAATGTCTACGAGGTGAATGGATCTGCAGTAGTCGAATCACAGACCTATAAAAACGTTGCTCCAAGCATAGGAATGGTAACTATAGCCCGACGATCCCTTCCAAAGTTCCCAATATTTGATGTATTCGTCATGGGTGGCTTCGGTTCGACCTTCATAAGTATATCGGGAACGGGAAAAGTTGCGATACCATCGATGCATCCGATCTTTACCCCGATCCAATCTAGAAGATATGTCAAGGTTCTGAAGTTGATCCACCCCTCCACAAAATCTCCGAATGGGAGCACCTCCACGAAAACGGCTATGATCAATGGTTGGAATAGCTGGTTCGTCTTACTACTTACCGGAAAATGATGATTATCTTTTTTGAAAGACTCAATATTCAGATCTAAAGTAGAAGTTTGAAGATCCTTAAAAAAAGCGTTAAGTTTCATGGTTGGAATGAGCTTGAAGCTTGAAGCCTGGAGCGATGTATAGTAATTAGTTTTATAAGTGCTCGTAACAAGGTCCAGGGCCCTAACAGAGAATAAATCATGTGGTACCGCGCGCAAAGAGTGAAGAACTCTTCATAGCACCTGAACAGAATACTTTTCCATAGTATCTGCCTTGCGGACCAAAATAGGAATACAATGCTCGTTCGGCGGCTGCAGAGACAACTCAAAACAGGCGCTGCGTAATGTGAATCAACTTTTGGGGTATGCTTCACTCTTATGTTTCGAGACAAGGAACCTGGGAGCTCCGCACGATAAGACCATAAAATTTGAGGATACTCGAAATGATATGTTTTCTTGTCAATTGGTAGGATTTGGAAAAGTTCGGATGATGGCTGGATCTGGTGGCACTTTGGTCGTAAATCAATCAAATCACAGGTACAATATGATTCCTTACAGAATCTTCCAGCGGGATGTGAAAGGATTCTCCACGATTCTAAAAGCCTCAGAACATTGGAACAAGTAGAGATACGCCTATGGCCATATGTGAGTTGGCGTAGTGGATGCGTTAAAAGCAGGTTTTGACGGGTTTTGACGGATGATCGACCCCCGCCTGTAAATGCTGCCTGTTCTCCGGAGTTTGATCCTAGATGGACATCAAGATCCAATATATGCAAATAATATGCAGCCCGGATCTGTTGAGTGACCCCAATTCTCGCATTTCTTGGTAGCAGGAAAAGGAAAGGGAGTTGATAGAGATAGCTCCATGCTAGAGATTAGACTTCATCAACGATTGTCCAGTCACCAAACTTCTTGAAGGTGTGACGAAAAGTTAGCATCAGAAAAGTTGATTGTGAGGGCTTTTGAGAACATGCATTACATATTAATCAAGGGGCTAAAAAGTGCTCCGTGCAAACGCGTATTGGTGGAAGCCTTGCCTATTCCGGATGCATGCATTCATTACTCCATCAGTCGATGATTTGAGGAGACCCTGACTCAGGAAAGTCTTTGCTCCCGAGTTGAAGTGTTGAATTCGCGAGTCGTAATGTGTAAGTGGTCAGCTTAAGAGCCTTTGTTCATATTGGAAAAATGAACGTCCGTCAAATTTTACATGTCGGAGGAGCATTACATATGGCAGGCTATCCATATACCTATATATATTTGCGACAATGCCATAGACGGGACGGTTACTGGAGATGGTTCGTTCTTTGCATGTTACTACTGGATGAGGAAGTGACCGGTTATGCTTATTAGGTCATAGAGTCGAAGATCAACCTAAACAAAACGAACCCGTACGAGTTCATGAATAGTAGCTTTTGACGACCGCGGGGCAAGCTTAATCCAAAGCCCCATGTGGTTACCAGCGATAATCCTTGATTGAAAAGGACCGACCAAAGCTGCCACTTTCCTGGGGTCCTGGTAATGAGTATCGCTGGGATGCGAAGATCATCCTGCAGGAGATAATTTTGACACCAATCATAATCCAATGATTAAACTTAATGCTCGATGACGATATACCCTCCATTCTTTTTCATCAATGGCAAGTTATCATAACAAAGTTTTTCCTATCTACTCGATATACACATGGGGAGCAAGCCTCATGACACCTTCGCTGTTCCAATGTAGGTATAGTTGGGGTTTTCCAAACATATGATATCTTAGGCTTTATTCTGGAAAGAAGAGAGTTTGGCGTGAGATTTATTTAGTCTGTCTCGTGTATAGTCCAAGTAGGTAAAAGGGATGAACTTACCTTTTGTGTTTGTTCAGTTGCAAGGCGAAAATCCGTGGAGCCAGTGGAAATTCATGATTGATCAAATTTAATCAATATGCCGGGATAACTGCCTGCAGAATCATCTCCGAAGATTCCCATAGGCGCGAACCACGATATCCTTATCACGTCGCATTTGCGCTGCGCCGCAGGGTAAGATGTGCGATGTCCTTTAGCTTCAATGCTACCTGTAGAACAGCAAACATACTGTACACCGGACACTGGACACTGTACGCGGTATTGTACACAGCACGGCGAAGATAGTTATTGGCGATTATGGCATGAACGACGGATAGTTACCTCATTGTGATACTTTTCACATTTCAGCCCGTTCATGCTTGTCGTTATTTAAGAGACGGTCTGATACAAATTTTTTTGGTCTGTTCGCATTCATTGACGTGGAAGCGAGGAAGCCTCTTCGGGAGATCATCTGCCGCATTTTCGAAAAGGCTTGTGGGCATCCGAAACATGACAAATCCGCAAGGCCACGGAGAATTGATCATGTTCTGTTCGACTGTTTTGATGCAGTGAAGGTGTATAGGTAGTTGAATTAAACGCCAAACGTCGCTGAACTTGCCGAGTTCTTAATGGTGACTGTGATTGTGACTGTGACTATAACTCTATACAATAATATACGCCATCGTATGAATTTATTTATCATACCGACCACATCTTTTTTTTTTTTTTTTTCAACTACATCTTCTTTTTACTGGTATGAGTATGACAGAACCAGAACTTACAGAACTTATTAAAATATGCTTTTTTCAGCCTCCGCACTTGCTAGACTACTCCAGGTTTCTTCTCCGGGAGGGGTTAATGAAGGGGCTTCGCGGCGTTACGGTCGCACTTTAGCGTCGCTGTACCTTCTGGACGAACATACAAAAACATGTGAAGGAAAAGAAAGTCACTGGCTAATTTCTATTTTCCAGTATCTTAAGATGTCTTATTGTGTTTCCTCAATGGTATTGTGCTAATTAGTCTACGGAGTATGCATAGTAAACAAAAGATGCCGTCACACTACAGCTGAGCAATTGGATGTAGAAGAATATTTACGGAGTGGAAGGTTGCCATGTATCTTCTGTCTTCTTCAACGGCCCAACCGGTCTGTCAGATATGGAGATACTTTTACCGATGGTGTGCGTGCTAAGATCTACATTATCCGAGGCAAGAGCGATCACCAAGGTCACCATGGTGCTTTTTAGTTTCCTACTGGCCTGCTCACATTAATGGAGAACAGGGGGCATACGATGTCAAAGCTAAACCCAATGTTGGCCATGGATATAACCGAACCTCGTGTTTGGGTATGTTGTCTGGGTATACACTGTACGGAGTACAGCGCTGCTTGCTAAGAGCTTACGGAGTAGAAGGGTTGGTGCTGGGCAAGAATGAGCTATCGAGGGTTGAAACGCAACATTCGAGCAGCATTGACTGGGCTTAAATGTGGTGACGGAAAATTGTTACTGTGCGTGCCATTGTGCACAATGCCACAGGATTTTCTTGGTGAGTCGGCGTACAGTAAAATAAGTAGTTGAGGATATCCAGTGGATTCTTTTCAGAGAGCCCCTTCATCTTCTTATTACGATATTTGTACCACTCTAAAGTCTTATGCTCGAAAACCACAATGAAATTATTGTACCATGTCTTTTATCAGTACCACGGCGTAGCTATACTCTCTGTACTTGTTGGCATGATGAGTAATTAAACATTATTTGCTGTTGATAAACAAATCATGACAACCATGGGCGAAAGGTTAAGGATTTCTCAATGATCCTCATGAACCTAGAGCAGAGTAAAACCTAGAGTAAACCTAGAGTGAACTTAAATTGAACCCAGATCATTCAGCCCAAAAAAGAATATTCAGCTCCTTGAAACAAATATCTATCTAATTCCTAATGAAGCTTCAAGACCGAAATTTGTTTACACTTCATACGAAAGCACTGTAATAATTGAGATAAATTTTTTAATTATTTGGTCAAATATGCTTCCCGACCAAGAATTTACCCAAGATTGAGCAGCCAACAGCAGATCGATTCTCGAACTTCAAGCAACATCCCGTCTCCCTTGCGCCGGGATGATCATGATCCAACGGCACTGTACATCTAGTACACAGAGTAGAAAAAAACATGGTCAACACGGGCCGTGGCAATGAAAAGCGTGGGAAGAGTGGGAAGAGCGTGGGCAAAGTAGGTTAAGTGTGATGATTGATTGTCGATTGTTGATTGACAGGAGCATCTGAAGTCCCACAGAGGGTAGTAGAGACGGCACGGGTAACATTCTAACATTCTAGAATGTCTTTAAATTGCTAGCTTATTAGGCTCTTGAATAAAATTAAACCGCAAACTACTCGTACCGATAAACAGATAAACACGAACAACACATCGCTTTCTCTTAGTATGTAATCATATTGATATTGCCATTGAAAAGCTGTTATTGCCTTCATACTATATCAAACCTTCTCTCACTCGGTCCCACCTATACGATTCGTGCCTCATGCACACGAAAGGGTATCTCAACAGGCAGGCAATGTCTAAAGTAAAATAGTGGCCGTCACACTCTCGGCGGATAAAGGAACAATGTTCCCCATTGATGATAGACATTTATCACAGGGATGAAACTCTATCCCTAAGCCAGACGGTCGTCCACGGCCATAATATCATGAGTATTGCAGGAACCACACAGCAGGACGGTAACCTTCAGAATCCCGTAACATTAAAGATCATTTCTCTACCGGCACTTCATCACGCCGTGTAACCAAAGATAATCTCACTGCGCTGGCCACAACATTATATTTCTTCAGGCCTCGACAGGCAACCTCGCTGTTTACTCCGTAGAGGACCTGACGTTTCGTTTACCGTGGATATTCATCATTCATCAAATAATTTGGACTTGTCCGTCTCCATCCAAATGCAAATGAGCGGAGGGGAAACCCTGTATCATATCATTCATCCCAACCTTTATCACGGACCCCTCCATCCTCCAAGCGAGCACCGGCAGAGACAAGCAGCGGGCGATCGCTGGAACAACTGTAAGGGTACTAAAGAGCAAGGGAATGCCTTGAAGCCGCTCTTCCAGAAAACCGTCCAATTTACTCCAAACCGACTTGCACTTTTACTGGTTAGTTGCAACGCTTATTCGTCCCAAGAAAGGCGGTTTGTGTCAGAATATCACCAGTGCACCAGCAAATTCACTTGATCCATAAACTGTAGCAGGTTCCGCGAACAGACTCTTGAGTTATAGGTGGCATAATTCTTATATGGTCACGACCGCAACTTCGAGATAAGTTGGGGAACTTAGGGAGCTTGTACGGTATAGATGCTAGATGCAGACTTTTTAAAAGCTAGTATGCATACACATCTAAACTTGCATGACCTAGGGAAATACAGAACACGATAGTCATCCATCGCCTGAATGATTTCCATGGTAATTGCCAGAATAATAAGAAATGGCGCGTTATATCACCGTGTGTACTGTACACAATTGTTAACAATATTTGTACCTAGGTAGGCTCTAGGTGTATTGTAGCTAACAGTACACCTAACGCCTACCTGTTAAAACTTTGAAGGCTCAAGTCATACCCTGTACTCCACTATAACTCATCGTCAACCCTTCTAATGTAACTTTTCAAGGCTTAAGAATCTCCAATCTCCAAATGAGCATTGTGCTGCTAATTTGCCGATATGGCACTGAAAGAAGGATTCATACCAGTAGATCCCAACTTGGACTCACGGTTTGCGCGTCACTCGTCTCATATCCTTTTCTTAGCAAGCTGTCAAAAAGCCCTAATCCCAAACATGGTGAAGTGACAGGCAGGGTCACCCTTCAAAGCCTGAAAATTATGTCGAAAGAAGGATCCACGACATCTGAATTGGGTTATGCTCCGAGCATGCCTGCCCGCATTAAACAAGCATCTTTACCCTAGCCAATCCCCTCTACTAGCGGGTGCATAAGGAAAGTAACGGTCATTGCAGGCATGAGACCCCCTGGACCCACCCTGGACAATCCTAGAATTCATCCACAGCAGTGCCTGCACGTCCACATCGAGCACGCAGTACCGGTCGAGCAATACCAAAAGGCGGCGAAAACCCCGTAGGCCAATATGAAGCCAGACGGTCGTCCGGATCATCCCATCCATCGAGTATTATTATTTGTGCCAAGTTTGGGGCATCTGAAGTCACAGTCCCGGAAAGTAGACCCACACCCAATTTGTGACAGCAGGTGTTACTCTGGTATCCTACCAGGATCTCTTTGGTGGATTCGCGCTGATCGCCCACACCCACTGTCTTCGGGAGATCTGATATTAATATCTATCGATCCCTCTCGCCCTTCAAAGTTCCTGTATTCGCAGGCGTATCTTGAAAGCAAAAGGTTCAGCCAGTTTATATATATACCATCGACCCAGTGGAACACACGGGAGATCTCGAAGTAATAATCTAATCAACATCCTGCATCTTCTTACTCATCAAACTTCTATTCGACCTTTACAACACCCGACGGTAGACATCTTGGGTCTTGATCTACTTCCTATCGGGCTATGAATCTCTCTAGTCTCTTCCACGAACGAAAGAATCATCAACAACACTTCTCTCATTATAACAACGTTCCAGAAGTAATGGCTTCACCATTGGTTTCCAATCCTTATAGTGCCCAGGCTATGGCTCAACATTCTCCCTACACATACGTTAACGCACCTCAACCACCCCCTTCGCCACCCGTAGACGAAACTTCAAAATGCTCCCTACCATCTATTTCAAGTCTACTAGGTTTGGCCGATGGATCAAGTCCTACAGAGCAAACTCAGCAGCAGTCATCGCCACAGCAAGGTTAGTGCTCTCAGATCCTCCATTGTGTTTCAAATGATTGATTTTTTTCCCTCAGCTGCTATGAAGGAAGAATACAGACCTGAATCTGGACACCAGTACGGTCCTTCCCCATCAATGAGCTCACGAGGTGCTCTCCCACCCACACCTCCAATGCAATCTGACGGCGGCTTTGACGGCAGACAATCTCCATCTCAAGCATCAACTTCATCTTACTCAGTAGTCTCAGCACCAAGTTACTACTTCAATCCTTCCCAGGTGTCAGCCATCAACAATATGGAGCCCCACGCACAACGTCAGCCAATCCCCGTTGTTACTAGGAGGGTCTCGATGCCAGTGGCTCCAATGCAGTACACTCATTCACCATTCAACGGTTCATACACTATGTCTCCAGGAGCCCAGTCTTTGAGCTCCTACTACTCGAGTCCAATACAAACACAGTCCCCTCAAGTTCCTGGACTATATTATCAAAGACCACTTCCACAGGTATGCTATATATTTACTGTCAACAGAGTAACATTGTGACTAATAACCCAATAGCAATTTCCTCCAACGATGATGCCAGTGTCTGTGACTCTGACTCCATCCTCTGGTGCTAATCCATGGCAACATCACCACTACATCTCTCCTTCATCGGCTGCCTCATTCCCTCAATCACAAGATAGATACATCTGTCAGACTTGCAACAAAGCTTTCTCGAGACCGTCGAGTCTTCGAATTCACAGCCACTCACATACTGGCGAGAAACCCTTCAAGTGTCCCCATCAAAATTGCGGGAAGGCCTTCAGCGTAAGGAGCAACATGAAGAGGCATGAGCGAGGGTGCCACAGTTTCGAAAGTGTATCCATGGTCTGAGCGTTGTCGTCTTACTGGTTGAAACAGCCATGATAGATGATGACTTCGCTCGTCAATAATGTATAAGTAGCGGGGTATTGTGTGGGACGGCTTTCCTTACTCACGATACCCGTCCTTTGGTCTATAGTTCTTATTCTTGGGAGGATCTGTATATTTATGAGAGGCGTTTAGAAATACTGGGAGGGGGGGTGGATAATATCTGCGGTCTGCATTTACAGGGGCGTTAATGGCTATTAGTTCCTCGGAGGCTACGAGAGAACGGATTTACTATGTGAAGACAAAGTTGAGACAAAGGGATCGTAAGGTCGAGAATTGGCTTTGGGAAAAAAGAAAAGAATGGGATGAAGAATATTATGAAGAGATGCTTGCAGGTCCATCACCATTCTCTAGAGAATAGACAAATGATAGTGTAAAAGTAATGGAATCAATTCAAAAATGACACCCTCAAGGGGCATAGAAACAAACCTCATTCTTCTATCTTGAGCATCCACTGATTTTCAAACAGTTTCATATTTATTCGAAAGCTATCCATAACACTCTATTTTCTAATTTCTTGCAAGGGTCCCAAGGACAGGTTAATGAAGTTCCATGAGATAACTCAACTGTTTTCATATCGTACCATAATTTCTGACTCTATTTATTTTAATCACAGCTCCAGGAACATGTCACCCACATTCCCATCGACGAGCACTTAAATAACAATCTATACAAGACACTATCGCACATCCTACACGCAACATCTGGCGTTCAAACCCATCACAAGTACTTCCTAAAGTGGTCCTCACTGTCTCCACTTCCACTCCCTCCACAAGAAAAAAAAAACTCAGAAAATATGGAGAAGAATCAAAATAGGAGCACCAGACCACCTTCCTCTCCACTCTTCTACCCTTGGGAGCAACGTTGCTATGCAACTCGAACCTGGTCTTGTATCCACAGTAGACGTCAAGGACCCAGCGTGCAAGAAGATCTCCTGCATCTTGGGACTATCCGCCCATTATCAACGGTGGCTATGGTCACCAATCAACCTGCGTCGTTACGGAAATCACTAAACCGCTTCTGTGTACCTTTTTCCACTGCCACGGTGCCTCCTTTTCCTTTTGTCTCTCTCTATGTCCGCACGGTAGTATTGAAGGGCTTAGAAAAACATGGCCAAGTAAAGTTATTTGCGCAGCACAAATTTCGGCACTGCGCCCTCGAGTCATTTGTCGCCAAAGACGTCGCGGCTCCCTCGAGCTAGCACCATGAACAAGATTTGCAGATATGTACTCTGGGTGATGATCTACGGTTTAGAAGAACTTTAGATCGATAGATTGCCATTAGTGCTTGGCTGTGTAAATCAGAGAGTCCACAGTAGTGCTGTAAAAGAGTTTCAACGCATGTGAGGGGAACCTGGGAAGCAAATAAAGTTCCATCAGTTGCGAAAGCATGGTGGTGCAGTTCTAACTTTGTCACTGAGTGTGCAGCCGAGCTGTTAGCCCAACTGGGACATGAACTTGTGTCTATAATGTGTAGATGGCACGAGAGTGACGAAATCTAAAACCCGAAAAACAGCAGACGCAGACGCAGGTTATAGACAATGTGCTCCAGTTTGCGTTCTCGCTCCACAGCCCAGGAAGTAAACAAGCGAGGGTGTACAACAAATTACAGCACTTAGTTACCAAGAAATTGTAGCACTTTCCGCCGTTTCCGAGCACAATATCAATTACACACCTTTAATCTTTTTCGCAGCGAAATCAAGCCTTACTTCAACAAGGCCTGTCCTTCCCATTCTAGAGCTCTCACAGCGCTACAAACACACTTATAGCGAAATTTCAAATTATTACACACAACTAACTTCATCACCAACTTTGAATCCACTGGCAACCCTCGCAATTCAAGGAAGCCCCCGCAATCCACTTCTACACAACACTTTGATTTACTTTATCTCCTATCTGCCCAATCCCTTGCCAGGAGCCCTGTCAAGCTCTCGGGTATTTGAGTATGGCACATCACGAAATATCTCCACTGAAGGTCGTGTCAAGTTCGTGTTAAGCGATGGAACTTCTCCAGTGGTTGGCACTGATAATTGACCTTGAAGAGTCTCATTCATTGCCGCCCCCGTATCCTCATCCCTAGTCATATAGCCAAATTTAGATGTTATGTCTTCGTATCAGCAATTAAGACTCTCAGATATAACCCAGTTCATGATTCGTTCCCGGATCCAGCATAATATAAATATCTGTCGTTCCAGAAGGGGAATGCACCGAACTTCTTCAGTAGCGACATCCATCGGAGATTTGCTATGCCACGCTGTATATTTGCCGAATCCATCTTTGTACTCTAAAAGATGTGTGATCCTTCCATATCTCCTATTCCTGCTGGCAAATTGTATAAAATGCTTAATATATATTGATAGCTGGGTACTGTAGAAGGTTATTGAAAGGTACTATGGGTGGAGACTAAGGGGTCCAACCACCGCCAAGCACACTGATATTCATCTAAGCCCTACAACGTGTCTGAAATTATCATTACACGCACGGAATATATGCCTAAAGTTTGATATCGTAAAACTTATATTCTTCTTCCATGACATCGAATATCAGCGTAAATTAAAAGTCTAGGAAGCACTTCCCAAAACAATTCGACGTGTTGCAGGCATCATGGAAAGGGAACGGGAAAGGCTAATTTTACCACGTGGAATTTATGGGTAAGCGATAAGCTTTAGGATTTTTCTTCACTCATTAATATGTCGATATTAATTGATGTTCAGGTACTACCTAACGGAGCATAAAGATGGATCTTAATTGCTGTTGTATAGACAAGTAATGCGGAAATTTGTTAATAATGGTATATCAGAAGAATTAAGAGAGCAGTAACGGCGGCAATTAGACATTTTTAACGTAAATCCAGTCACCGCCATTAGAAAGAACCCACTACACGCCAGTACACGATTACAGGCCCTAACGAACGTTACCTGTCGTAGTGGTATATGTTTCAGAACCCGCGCAAAGGCCTAAGATCAGCACTCTGGGCACTGACTCGTAAGACAAGCGTCCTGCACGCAAAACGGTGAAGAAAATAGACATGACAACATAAAACAACGAGGAGGACCCGGTATCGCTGTCTACTCTGTAGATACTTGATCCCGGTTTTAGTGGATACATTTAACTTGCAATCGATCTGGGAGGGGCCTTGCTCCATTTATCATCCCCATCCCCCCATCATGCATTGGCAATGAACTGGGATGCTTTGTCGCTACGTATGCCATCAAATCAAATCTAATTGTGCAAAGCCAAAATAAAAGTCGGGTTAATCGTGGCTCATTGACATTCCGAATTACCTCAATTTACCCGATACTTTAAACTCTCCCGAGATCTTGCCCAACGCGCCAAAACAAAACCCATAGCGATATGCTGAACCCCCACGAAATAAAATGCTTCAAAAGCAACATGTAAACGAAGATGGAGATGGCATTCTGGCCGACGTTCTTTCTGAGTCTAGATATTCTTTGTAGATCATCGTACGATGTTTTGACAAGTCTCAGGTACCAAAACGTACCAAAGCTTTTTGTTTTGCTTTTCGAGACATAAAAAGCCAGCTACATTATTCCAAATGACGAGAGAAATCCCCGGAGGATTTACATGTGTCGAAGAAGATCACGGTAACTTTACCGAGATGAGATGGGATGCTTTTTGGGATAATGTCTCGGATGCCCTAGTCTGTCAACACTCAACGCGGTATGCTCGATTAAGATTGATTGCCCGATAATTGGAGATGATGTGGGAATGAATGGGTATTAAGATCAAGTAGGGGTCCTATGTAGGCGTCCATCAGGGGTATACGTCATTATTTGTAATTCTGTCAGTTGCTGCAATACTTGGTTAGCCAACACAAAAACATTTTCCCTTTTGAGAACCTTCCCTTTTCCCGAAAGAATTTCGGTACCAGGGTGCCATTCACACGCTGTGATGAAGCACAGGTGCCCTGCCCATGGCAGTGGGCTGATTCGAAAAGTCGGTTGTACTCAATGTGCATTCTTCATAGCGTTCCGGTGGAGGTATTGATCGTCCTGTCCCATTTTGTTGCAAGGTATTGTACCTAAATTTACTCAATTCATTCCGGAGTCATCAGTATGTTATTGCGCTGTCCAAGAATGTGAAAGAATCTAATCTAGAAATTTATCCGGGCATCAAGAGGAAAGATTTTCCTGGGTTGCATCATGCGCATGTCGATTCGGAATAATAAGAAAGCATTCACGTTTAACAGTCAACAATAAATGAAGCAAATAATTCGTATTTCTTTCAAGCACAGGATACCAATCCTAAGATGCTATTATTATTTGTTGCAAAGATGGATAGGCGTACAATGTTTGAACTTCACTTCCTATAACCATTACAATGTACATAGTCATCACTTTATATGTAAATCATCAAGATTTACAGATGATCGATTACTATTTTCGGTTGAGGACATGAAGTAGCTTAATTCAATACTAGATTAGCTTTTACGGTTGTCTTATCTATTTCCATTGATCATGAGACTAGAATTCCTCAAACTTTGGTCAAGATGTTTATTTGACCTTTGAGGAACAGTGTTCCGAAGCGGCGAAATTCCACTGCAATAGAATCGAGTTTCATGGAAGATAAAATGATAACTATTTTAGATTAAAAATGACGCGGATGTATGCACAGTTCAAGGTCATCACGATGACTGACAAAGAATCAGAGGGTTTGAAACAAGCAGTTCCTCAATCTACGAGACTACATGGGCCAATTTCATGCTATCAGTCTTGCAGCGCTAAACAATCACAACTTTAGAAACAGAAACACATTACAGGAGCGCAATTCTTCTCGCTATTAGATAAATGCAGAAAAGTGCTGTGTAAAGCTCGAAACTTGCCTATACTACGTTCTTCCCACTCAATATATACAGCAGTTCGACACCTCGGCTGAACCAGAAATTCTTTTTCTTGCCAGGCTTTCAACCCACCTTCCCCTTCCACCCACGACACCCCCTCTTTTTACTCATTTGATAGCCACTTCCTTTTCACAATGAATCACCGCTATAGTTAAATCAGAAAGCCGTGAGCCACGGGCTAAGAGGAGAAGCCTTCACCTATCCATCCTACATTAGGGATTATGGTTTGGACTGCCGTTCGACGAGTATAACTGATTTGTTTGAGGGCACTTTCCCTCAATAGATAGATATGGCTCCAATTCTGGCATTTTAGTTAAATTCTAACAGTGCCAGTGATTTAACTAAAGAGAGCCCATCGATCCTGATGCTTACGCCCAAATTTTGACAATGTCTCTAAAGTTTCTTTCACTCTTATGTTTTATTTGATCCGACTTCTCCAAAATTTGCATAACGTGTTCTAAAGATATATGATCGGAGCCTTGTTATAAAACGTTATGACAGGTTATCGTCAGTGGTCTGGGATCACAAGGTTCCTAACCTATGGGATGGGTATGTGAGTACATGCATTCCGCAGGGTTTGATATGATGGACATGCCAGGGCACGATAAAAGGGCGATCACCGCACCCGTTACGTGCTCTTTGTGCTACTATGCCTTCTTGCAAAATGCATGTTTGAATTGCCATCACAAAAACACACCCCAGCGTTTTGATCTGAATGTGCCGAACCATCCACCGTGGAGCAATGAACAGATCAATGATCAGCTAAATTATGAACAATGCGATGTCAACAGGGGCATATTGAGGCTGCAATGAACCTGGAGAGATTCACCTTGCTTTCTCGTGCGCAAAGTCGCCATGACAACTTAAGGCTTCAAGCTTTTGTCGACTTTCGAGTGCTATCACCATCAGCGTGCCCTCCGTAAAGCTCTACCCCTTGGTTCAATGCAAGCTTGTTATTTGGGCATGTTGTATGTAGATTTGTAGATCTGGTGTGATAGGAATTCTGTGATTCATATCCCAATCAAACAGCAAAAGTTGATGTAGCTTTGGGCTACAAGAAAGCTCATACCTTGACGAACCGCTTTAAATATTAAGACTGCTTGCGCTTTAAGAGTATTAGAGAAGTGCACAGTCGATGCCAGATGACACTATTAAGCTCAATGAAATGAAAGAGTGCAAAATAAGCGAAAAAGGTCGAGACAAAAAAAAAGAAGCCGCCCATTACTTTGAAATTGACGATTCTCAAATTCGAAGTGGTTGCTTGCATTAGACAGAATAGCAGAGGCCAATAGCGCTTTCATTTCTGTTTTTCCAGTCCAGTTTTGAGCCCCGATAGTGTAATATTTCGAGCTCCAGTTTGGAAGTAGGTAAAAAACCTTATGATATTGTATTTAGAGCTTTGTCTGCCAGATACTTACCGAAGATACTAGAGGGAAAAGTTCATATACTTGGAAGCGGAAAGCTGGCTCATGGAACTGGTCGTGCTGATGAGATCATATTAAGTTCTAGTCGATGAGGAACTTCCTATCAACGAGCTTTCACCTTGATACTTACCAGGGAAAGAGAAGTAGGGAAGCATCAGAGAATTCGAAAATTTCCTTGTGGAGTCATCTCCAGTTCCGTCCACAAGTCGATAGCCTAGAAATTGAATTTCACGATGTCCCATTGAAACCCTTTTGATCATGGTTTGCTCGGCTAGCAATAACTGATCCAAAATATGCCTGAATAATACAGTGTTGTATACAACTGATAGAAAACAATGTTACTACACAATGCGACCTGAAAGAAGATAGATGTCGAAATCGAAATCCATTGAGTGGGGTTTAAATATCACGTGAACTAAAAGACAAGGCTGATGAGTCCGGTAAAATGGTGGCCCGAGCTTTCAATCCAGCGTAGCCTTGGATCGCATTTTAGCAGTTTAAAGCAATCAGCATTGCTTCCTGATATTAATAACTACAACGACTCTCAATTTGTGGACGAGCTTATTAATTGCAAAAGTGGAAATATATCAAAGACACAATCATGGATTCTATGGATATAGATACGCCGATGGAAATATCTCAAATGGATGATAAAGTCGAGGTAAGCTTAACGGGCCGTCTTTGAACAGAGCCTTGCATGGCATTTGAGATATTCAAATTTCCGCCATTGACACACATATAGTTAAACAATGCTGAAGTACCATCCGAAGCTCCAAATGACGTTCCACTTCAAGAACCGACTGAAGCACCAATTGAGGCACCGATAGAATCCCTATTTGACACCCCAGAACCTCAAAAATCCAAACCTACACCTTCTAAATCTAAGATATCAAACAATGCGCCTGGTTATCGATACAAGTATCCAGAGGCCAAACCGACACCCCCCGGTGTAGATGATGACAGATGGAATAAGATCTACGTGGCTGCAGATTCTCGATTCTATAACAGAGCCAAAAAGAATGCGTCGGAATCTAGAAAGATCAGACTGACTGGTGAAACTTATCAACTCGCTCTCAGAATCTTGAAGGAGAGAGATGAGAAGGAAGCTGAAGCCGCGGCAGATTTGGCAGCTGGCATCGTACCGGCTCCGAAAAGAATTCCCAAGCCCAAACCTCCACCAAGGCCAAAGGCTCCATCCACAAGCTCCCGGGACGGCACACCGAGTTTTAATGATAGAGTACCACTAAGTATTTCCGAGCAAATTAAGAGTGAAGGCCGTGCTCGAAAGACACTGCCGTCTTCTAGCCAAGGCTCTCCTGGACCGTCTGGCCCTAAGCATAGCAGTCCTGCGCCATCACAAATGAAGTCGGAGAAGGCCGAGAAATCACTACCAAAGAAAAAGAGCACCGTTACTTCTACCAAGAAAGCCCGACCTAAGGGGGCCAAACCTGAAGGTAACATTGCCCGCCACTGCAAAGCTAAGCATGGTCCTTTCACAGACTAACACTTTTGGACAGGCCCTACAGAAGCTAGATCACAACGCAACAGCGCCACTCCTGGATTAAGAAACCCTTCCGACGACGATGACAGCAACGATGGCGGCGAATACTGTATATGTCGCGGTCCTGATGATCACCGAATGATGATTTTTTGTGAGGGAGGTTGTCAAGATTGGTATCATTGCTCATGTATCGATGTTGATGTCGAGGATGCGAAAGAACTTCTCGATCGATTTATTTGTCCAAATTGCAGCTCTGAAAGTGAATTTACTACCTGGAAGCGAATTTGCAGATACCATAATGTTGATGGATGTAGGAAGGCTGCTCGTGTCATGGATGATCCACCTAGCAAGTATTGCAGCGACGAGCACGCAACTGCATTTTGGGAATTTGTTGCTGAAAAATTACGGGCCAATAAAAAACGTACCATAGGTGGAGCCTTGAGCGGCGAAGAATTTGGAGCATTATTGAGTTCATGTAAGACAGCAACAGATTTCCATGCTCTTGGTTCGAGACCGAAGTTGCCAATACCTGAAGGCCACGACCCAAGTCAACCACTGGGTCTCAATTATCTGCTCCCCGAAGAAGAATCCGCCATAAGCAAGATTAAGGCCAGACGCGCAATCATTGAACAACGTATTGAAAGTTTCAAAACCGCTCAAAAACTTTTGATTATGATGAACCGGCGCGCCAAGATTGCACAAGAACACCCAGATGTTGATGTCAAGGAGATTTGCGGGTATGATAATCGTCTCGCCCTAAACGAGTATGAGTTCGGTGCTTGGTGTGCAAGTGAAGAAGGCAAAGGCTATCTCGCCACTGGGGTTCTTGGTCCTCGTACCGAGGAAACAAAGCATATTGGTGAAACTACTCCATATCCTGGTCAAGTCGTTCCCGATACAGGAGATCTACCTGATGAGCTAAAGAATCTGTGTATCAAGCCTCTCAAGAAATGTAAACACAACGGCTGGCGTGGCAACCATGCAGAGCAATACGCGTATGCAACAAAGACTTTGACGGAAGAACTCGCAAAGTTGAGCAAGCAAGAGGCTTCTATAATTGAAGATGCAGAAACCAGAGAAGCTACCAAGGATTACAATGCCGAAAACACGGTGGAGCAACTTTTTTAAACTGCAGTTTTTGTTTGCTTTCTTACTCTGCTACCTTTAGGCTCTGGGGTTCCCTCGAGGCGTTGGGATACATCAATTACGGGGCTAGAGATTTACATGGTATGGAGAAATTGGGAATATGGGAACGAAGGTTGAATTGGCGTTTTGAACTAAGGGCATGATGGTACCTATACCCGGGCGGAGTTTCCATTTTAATAAGTTCTATCCAATGTACTCATCGTCACAATTGTAAATATGCACATCAAGATGACTGTATGTATTATTAATTTAAATACCCACTCAAACTAAGATACCTCAACCCCAAACTCATCATCCCCCTCATTTCTCACCCATCCACCCAAACACCCCCTAACTTCCCCCTTAACCCTCCTCCTCTCCCCCAATATCTCACTTCCCTTCATCTCCTTATACGTCCCCGACCCCAAGCAACTCCTCATCCTCTCTACAACCCCATTCCCCATCCCCTCCATCGCCGCAACCCTCCCCAAAACCTCCAATCCCACCTTCCATGCTCGTCTCCTACAAACCCTACTAGCACCCCTCACATCAAACTGTTTTCTCCCCTGCAACGCACCATTTACCAGGGTCTCGCCGCCTGTTTTCCCATCGCCACGAATCCATGATGTGGATATATTGCTACTTACATATTCTAGCGTTTTTGCAGTATGCGTTTCGCTGCGACGGGAATAGATGAATTCTTTCGTGGTGGTTTGGATACTCAGTTCGTGGTATTCGTAGCCGGTTTTTCTTTTTTGAGTCGTCTCCTGACTGCGCTTTTTGAGCGTGCATAATCGTGTACGGAAACACCGTGTGAAGCCTATGGTGTTGTTTTGGGTGCTAGGGAGGATGAGAGATTGGAGATATATGTATTGAGGGGAGATGAAGAGGGAGGTGAGAGAGGAGAGGAGTGATGTGTATTGCGTGGATGCTAGTTTGTCGGAGCAGGATTTCGAGAGTGTGGGAGGTGCATCTGGACGTGATGGTTTGCGGCGCACGCGGCCGAGCAGTTGGAAGTTGGCTCGGCCGGGAAGTTGGATGTTTTCTTCTTGGTCTTCAGCCCCAGGGTTAGGAGGGGGTAACGCCCATGGCGTTGCGTCTTCTTGTGCCGCCATGGTAAGTTCCATACTTGCGTCGCCGCAGGGTGCTTCGGAACAGTACATGAAGAGTTTGATGTGCGGTTTTAATTCGAAGGGTTGGAATGCATCGTGTGTGATGGTTTCCGGCAGACGGTGTTGGAGATATTGTGAGGGGATTGAGGGGGTGGAGAGGAGAGCGAGGATCTCTTGTAGAAGGAAATGGTTGAAAGAGCGGAGACAGAGGATTTCGGCGTGCCAGTCGTGGAGGACGTTACCTTGTGCTTGGGGAAGTTTGGAGTGCGGGAGACATTTCATGCCGGTTCTGGGATGGGGATTGTGTTAGGATGAGAACCTCGGGAGGGAATCGATATGATGGATGGTAGTTTGTGAAAAGGAAGAGGAATTGATGGTTACTTGAAACGTGACTTTACGTTCCGCAACCATCATTATCTTCATATACAATTCGTATACTAGGGAACGTAGATCCATCCTTAAAAATAGAAACAACTCACGCAAGAGAAAGACAAGTTAATCCATTCTCACCTACCTCAAATCAGCCTTTCCGTTCAAATAGATAGATAAATACCAAGCTCAAAATCATCATCACAGATACACGGATAAAACCCCCACCCCGCAAAAAATTAAATAAGAAAAAACCTACCAGAAGCAACAATCCCACTAAGCGGAACCCATTCCCTAACTCCCTCTCCCCTATTCAACGGTTTCCTCTTCGCGGGTAACTCGTCGAATTGTTTTAACACCACATTTGCTATTTCGTCACCTGATGGATCATTGATTTGGGTGGTTTGATCCATATCTCTTCTTTTTTCCTGTTGTTATTTCGTATTATATCATATCTATCATATTATATTATAGGAGATATCATTAATATAAAATTATCGTCAGGAATAGAAAATACAACAGTAACCTTAACCTCAAGGGTTCGAATCAAATTCCTTGCAGTAATTTTCATGTGGGGTTGACACTAATGGAAAAGAACTTTCTTTATTTGGGGCTTCGGGCTGGCTAGTCCCGCCTCATTCTCATTCTCATGCAAGTTCCCCGCTACACTAGGGAATTGAGCTGAATGATGTGTGTATTCTGTGTGGGGATGCGAAGATCTGGATCTGAGGGATGGATGTCCGGTTTTGATTACCGCGTTGAGGGGTTGGAGGGGTAGGTGGGACATAGTAAGTGTTTGTAATTGCTTATAGAGGATTTGTTAATATTGATTTTGAGCTATTTCATCTATTCTTTTTGGAAATTGTGTAGATATAAAGGAAGGGTTTAGGATGGGAGTTCATCATTATTCCAATATATTTTATTTCATTTTCTTCGAGATTTTTAACTTCATTTGAAGTTATCTATCATCTATCATCTACCCCGCATCTCAAGCTTCACATACACACACAACACACTCACATAGACACACACATTTGCCCTCTCAATCTCATTCCAATTCCACATAATATATACCACCATATAAAACTACCTATCTCACCATGGATCCTACGCAAACCACCATTCCCCCAATGAAAGATCTAACCATCGACAACATTACCGAAAACACCATCCGGATAAACTCCCAAGGAAGCGATGAACGTCTCACATACGTGATGGAAAGACTCGTTACGCATCTCCACGATTTCGCCCGCGAAACTCGTTTAAGTACTAAAGAATGGATGGCGGCTTTAGATTTCTTGGTGAGAGTCGGTCAGATATCAAGTGATGTGAGACATGTACGTATACATACATATTTAAATAAAAGTTTCATGTTTATTCCATTCCCACCCTCAACAAAAAAAGAATAATAATACTAAACGAAAAAAGGAATTCATCCTCCTATCCGATATCCTCGGTCTCTCCCTCCTAGTCGACGCAATCGACCACCCCAAACCACCCTCCTCAACCGAAGGAAGCGTCCTCGGACCCTTCCACACACACGATGCAGAAACCATGACCCAGGGGGAAAAAATATCCCATGACCCCCAAGGCGAACCCTGTCTAATACTCTGCAGCGTCAAAGACGTAAACGGAGCCCCTATCCCAGACGTCAAGATCGACATCTGGGAAACAGATTCTACGGGGCACTATGACGTGCAGCGAGAAAATCGCACCGAGCCCGATGGTCGCTGTATCATGCAGAGTGATGCGCAGGGAGAATTCTGGTTTAGGGCTATTGTTCCCGTACCTTATCCAATTCCTCATGATGGTCCTGTAGGCCAGTTGTTGAAGTTGTTGAAGAGACATCCCTGGAGACCGGCGCATATGCATTTTATGTTTCAGAAGACGGGATGGGATCATCTTATCACGTTTGTTTCCCTCCTCCCCCTACCTACCTTTCTACCAAAATCCCATCCCATCATCTACTAATATAACCCCCTCAAAAGCGCATTATATATCCGCGGCGACCCGTACGAATCCTCCGACGCGGTATTCGGAGTCAAGGAATCACTAATTGTGAATTTTGAACCAGCGACTGCGGAAATCGCAGAGATGTATTCTGTACCTGTCGGATCGAAAGTTTTGAAACATGATTTTGTTTTGGTGAGTGAGAGGGAGACGGAAGAGTTGAGGGATCGGAATGCGTTGATGGCGTTGGAGGCTTTGGGTTTGAAGGTTAAATTGTTGGATCATTTGCCTGTGCCGGATCTTGATTGATTAGTTAATTAGAGCAACATTGAAGTTGATTATGGTAATGGTTATGGCTATGGTATATTAATACTAAGGATCTAGAAAGATACCCCGTTTCCAAAGACCTCGAGCTCGGGCTCATCCCCATCATTGAATATTGATGAAAGATACCTTATTTAAATAGAAGCCCTTTAAAATCTACTCCAGAGACTTATCAACTATCATTTTCTATCCTTTCCTTCTCACTTATTTATTTACCTAGGTACCTAGATAATTATATTCCAATATCCCAACTACAACCCTAAGACTACTTCTAATTCTAACAAGAAGCAGAGAAAATCACAACACAACACAAGGCAATCAATCGCATACTTTCTTGCATACTTACATATACAAAACAATAAAGTGGATTACTAACCTAGCACCAATACAAAAAAAAAAGAAGAAAGTCTTCTCTTCTATCCCATTCCGGCACCTCTAAACTGCAAAGGTATATTCAATCTACCTCACATTTCCCACACAATACCATAAGATACCACTACAAAACATATAAATTTTATATAAATCTTACTTAAATTAATCGCTACCTATCTACGATTAAACCAGATTAAACCAGATATCCATCCATCCATTATATTATTACAAGGAATTATATTCCCTTATAAATTATACTACCTACCTACCTACCTATCTACATAACTAACCAACTAAAATAAAACAAATAAAAATTATAAAATCCTACTAATTAGCAACCATAGCATAGCGTAGCGTAAGGTATATAATATTTGCAAAAAAAAAAAAAAAAAAATAGGTTCAATCGATCGATACATACATAGATGCTAATGCTAATGCTAAAAATACAAGACGAGTAGATACCTACTAACTAATTAGTGTCCCTCCACAAAATGCCATATATACAGTTCTAACCACCTTTCCTATTTTGCGCCTAATAAAACCTAGGTAGGTATTAATGCCTTCCCTCCTTGTAGGTACACACACAATGTAAACACCCAAGCACCGTAACAAACCAAATCTAAATAGCCTCCAAAAGAAAACGCAGCCCTAACAAGCGCCAAAAAAAAAGAAGCCTACTCCAATCCAGCGACCCTCCTCGGCCAACTCATCAAAGCCTCCCAACCACCCGGTAAAATACCACTAATCCCACCAATCTCCCTGCGCACCATATTACCCAACCACCAAAAAGTTTTCCCCAAATCCAAATCCTCACCATTTCTCATCTCCAGAACGATCCTATCAGTAGGACCACCTCCCTCAACCAAACACGTCGCCATGGCAAAATAGTAGGCGAAAATGACCAAAGCACGCGGCTGTTTCTCTTCTACTAGATCGATGAAGAGTTTAGGGACTTGGAGACCGAAGGCTGTGAAGCGGCGGGCGGTGGCCATGGGGTGTTCTTGTTGGATGATGTTGAGGTGGATGGAGGAGAGGTAGGAGAGCGTTTGGATGTATGCTGCTAGATGGGAGGGAGGGATGGAGGGATCGGGAGATCCGTCCTCGGGGTAGTAAGCCTTTGGGGAGAGGGAGATGTGCGGGGAGGGATAGGTGAGGATTGTGTTGAGGAGGGGATGGATTTCTGGACGGTTGAGTCGTTCTTCTGGTTTGGTGAGCGCGGGCTTGGTGCGTAGGAGTGCCATTGCTTTGGCGTTGGGATCATGTCTTATCATGCCTAGTGCTACGGCAAATACAGATGCGGTTCCCCGGGCCATCTGTAACCAATGCGTAGGTAGTGTGTATGGTTCATACAACGAATTTG